GGGGGGGGGGGGGGGGGGGGGGAACTCGAGACTGCCACAAAGACGGATGGAGTGGCTCAGATCTATGAGCTTCCTCGTGTGCGTCACACGTCCTCATGAGTCAACCAGACACTGCACCTGCTGGGTGGTAATTGGAGGGCTTCCTGGGAGAGGTGGCCGCAGCGCCGCGTTCGCCTCTGGGCTGCCCTCAACAGTCTGAGTCTGCTCTAATTGGCGCGGCACACTGCCTCGCTCTTAGTATGCACGTGGACTACAGACTAGCTGTATTAATGATTCGCCGATGATCAGTTCATCACCCGTAAGACCTGTGATCAACCAGGAATACACTTCCCAATGTGCGCTCAGTGCTCTTATTCATTTACTCGTATTTAGTTTATTAATAATTCAAGTGCCTTATTTAAGGCTGTGCTGGAAAAGCATGTGTTTTGTTTTTCTATAAGCTTTCATGGCTAATCAATTATGCATTGCTAATATGGCCAATATAATTGACAAAAAAATAAATAAAAACAATTAACATTTGCATCCCGACTGCGGCTCTGTGAGTGTGGTTAGTTAGCTGTGCTGTTTCTCCCAGCCCACCCATTAGTTTAAGTGGGGGGGCACTGGCGCCATATGGTAGGTCCTTGACTGTGACAGACTGACACATTAGTCATTGATGGCTCACAGCCTCTCGGATGATAGGCAGTGCTTAAAAGGATGACCTACAAACGAACACACACACACACACACACACACACACACTCTGAATTGATCTTGAAACACTTACAGTAAATATAGAGGCATTTTTACAGAGGTCGTGTCAGCTCAGTCAATTTGGCAGCTGTGTGTGTGTGTGTGTGTGTGTGTGTGTGTGTGTGTGTGTGTGTGTGTGTGTGTGTGTGTAAAAAAAGTGAAATGAGAGACACAATAGAATAATCACGGCAGCACCAGTTATGACCCCGCGATAACAGGACTATGGATCGGTCCCTGTCCATTTGCTCAGTTAATTTCACGCAACAGGGTAACATTGTGCATCTTGCCACAGCGTTCAAAAGAATTCAATGATTGGCCCGATGGTGCGCTATAATTGGCACTCGAAACAAAAGACATATTTGCTCCTGATTGGCTCAGGAGGGGTTCTGCCTTGTTGTTCAGAGACGGCACATTTCCTGCCACCTTGATTTTAATACATTTTTTTTTTGCGACTTAATCTTAGATAAATGCAGTAAATTCCCCTCACGAGTAATGTCTAATGTATTAAGCATTGGACAACAAATCACCTCCAGTGTTGACTTTTTGTAATGGAGTGTCACCAGGCGGCAATCTTTCTAATGGCCAGCAGAGGGCGACTCCTCTGGTTGATTATATAGCAGTCTATGAGAAAATGACCCAACTTCTGCTTGATTTTTTTTTTTTACCTCAGTAAACATTGTAAACATGATTGTATGTTCCCATTTGCTAGTTTCAAGTCTTCCTCAATACAATAAGACGTTCAATTAGTAAACGATGGTCCTGATTAGAGTAAAATAGAAGATAAAGCAGGGCGGGGCTACCTTGTGATTGACAGGCTGCTACCACGGCGTTTTAACCCTTTCACAGTGAGTTTTCAGTTCATTTAAGTTAATTGTAACATTTTGGTTGCCTACAAATGTCTTATTCAGCGTTTGGTTGCCTTAGCTCCACCCTCTCGTGGCATTTCTGGGCTGCGGTGGAATAGTCCTTTTTGCTGAGGAAGGTTCTAACTGAGTGAAATGACCGGAAGTATCTAAGACGCCGCCATCATGAGAGCTGTTGGAATCCTCTAAATTCTAAGGAAAGGTGCGTCAATGCTTCCTTCATTAGCTTCTTTAGCATAGGAAACACTGGTCCGTCCTTTACGAAAAGGAAACTAGATAATTCCGCCCCACAATTCCTTGCGGCGGCACCATTTAAAGTGACGCACCATTCGGCCGTCCATGAAAACAAACGACATGTTTATCTTCCACAGGTTGAACAATTCTACTCAAACAGTCATAATGTAATGGGATTCATGTTGATGCATATGAATAGACAGTGACAAACCTTTCGTTTCATGTTATATGTATAAGTTTACTCAGAAGATGTAACAAATAAGTAAAAACATTTTGATATTTGAAATTGATATTGAACAGTTTCATTGATATTTCACGAGTGTTAATTGTTAAATGTGACAGCAGCAGGAAGGAAGGAGCTCCGGTTTGTCTCCTTCACACCACGAGTGAAACACCCTCTCACGAAAGAAGCAGTGTAATAGATTTCATGGGGTCATGTTTTAGTTGTGCTTTTTGTAGTCCTTTGTTGTAGTTTCTCCATGGCAGACCTACGTCAGGGACATCCGCCCTCGCATCATAATTACGTAGCTTAGCTTAGTGTAGTCTGGTTCTCTAAACACCACGGTTGTCTTTTCCTAACTCCTCGTGAACTCTCCTTCACCTCTTTCCTTGACCCCATGATGTTTTCCATACAGGTCAAGGATAAGTGGTTAGAAATAGACGTTAAGAGGTCATAATTGGACACTTCGACCGCAGCCCTGGTTGCAAAAAAAACCAAGATGGCGACTGACAGACTGCCGAACTCGAGGCTTTGAAACTGTAGTCCATAAACCAATGGGTGACGCTCCCCGGGGCTTTGTCTACTTCTTATATACAGTCTGAAGAAGACGGCGTAGTTGAGATTAGCATCAGCCGAAGGGAGCCGTAAGCTGCTCTCTAACTCCCCTCAACAAGCACCGAGGTGCTTCTGTGTCCTGTTCGAAATGTGTCATCAGCTGTCCCGGCAGGTGCGTTGCCACACAAACCTCTGAAGTGGCTTCAGAGCTTCTTGCCTGGAAAGGTCACCGCAGGAGTGGGTTAAATATCCCCCGGAGGAGCGAGCGGGGCAAGCCGGTCGGTGATTTGTGAGAGCTGCTTCGCCTCCCTTCCCAATGACCTTGACCAATTCTCCCTCCCTTTTAACTTACAAGTCACTCTCTAGAAAAACGGCCCGGTCACCATGTGTCTGATGTGCCAGCAGTCATTAGTCGTAGTCTGATTGAGGAGCTGAAGGAAATTAAAAGAAATAAACTAAAAAGCCATTAGAGGTCAAGCCATCACAACAACCGCACACAAAACATTATCCTCTGTTTTGCTTTAATCCAATTAGACATCCGCTGAAGCTTCAGTTGTTTTCAGGCAAGCCTGATTAACTTTGTTGTGAATCGCTGTGCTTGTGCCTGTTGTTTTCCCCCCTTTCTTGAGTTTGGCTCAAGAAAGGATCAGCCATTAAAATCAACTCTTTAACTTACTTTTTGTGGAATTGTAGCTCGGACCACGGCTGCCCGATTACAGCAAAAACGATAATGGCAATTGTTTGCATAATTAGGATTTACACTATTGTTAATTTGTATCAGTTTAATAGTGTCTTATTCTATATAGAACACTTTGAGTTGACGGCAAGGTTGCCTCCACATTTACACTCTACTTGATGTACCCCAAAATCGACTATCTTTTATTAGAATATAGAAGTCTGATGGGCTATATGAATACAATTAAAATAGACTGAATTGAAGGATCTATCTATTTAAACAGTCACAGGTGTGAAGCGCCGTCACCAGTGCTGCTGTCCTGGACCAAATGAAGTCGGGTGCCGTTTTGCCACTCGAGTATGAATTAGTTAAAGGTATTTTTGTTCGTGATAATCCTAGTCGTTAGACTCACTTAGGAGGAATTGAGCGATTCTTCTCGCGTGCCACAGTCCTCTGAGAAATAGGATTGAGACTGCTAGAGACGTAATTATTGAGAACAATTTCCTGCCGTTCGCGAGCTAGATCTTTGTGGAAAAAAATCAAAATCTTCCGTTCCGTGTCCTCTCTGTGGCGTGGTCCCCCCCCCCCCCCCTTGTTTTTAAAGACGCCATTTGGAATTCATTACCAGGACTCCGTATGCAGATTCGGAAGGGCTTTGATTAAAGCTCTAACAAGCACTTGATGGTTGGGGATATCACATTTCCTTTTGTTTTAATGCACTCTGTTAGGCTCACTCACAGTTAATAAGTCACAATCAATCTACCTGCTGTACGCACTGAGGCTTTGTAAGAGCTTAACAGGACCCCTGAGAGATGGAATAATTTCACTTCTGAAACAGACTGACAGAGTGAGCGCCTCTCATTGATGTTTTGCATCTGTGTGGGATCGTAGTAGCTTCCATTGCGTATTTATACACTTGTGTACGAGGGTGTAGGAGATAAAGGAGGCCGCTAAAGGAAGCCTGTCAGACATTGCCACACTGGGTAGACGGGCTCATGTTGTCTCCTCTCCATTTCCACTCGGAAGAGTGCAGTTGCCTTAAGCGAAGTGTGTCGTGTTTGATGACCTCAGAAAGCGTTTCTCTCGAAATACCTGACTTCTGCTCTCTCGTGTCCGAGTCATCCCATCCTGTGGATGGAAACATCCGATTTCATCATTTCGTTACTTGAGCAACTCTTAAAAAAAAAAAAAGCGGAGATGCATCGACGGTCCTCCTGCACGCTGGAATGTTTGGGGGGGTCAAAGCCGTAATCCAGAAGCCTGCCCGTGAACCTTGTGGCGGCGGTGAGTTAAAGGTCCCGTTTACGGTTCCCTGTGCGTTACATCTCTTCGCTGAGGCGCGACGCTCGGGGCAACACTCTACTTGCTGAGTCGAGGCTCAGAATGCATCGTCGCTGTTTTTCTCTCCCCAGTGACATATCAAGCTGGCATTTTAGCATTTCTAAGGTTGATTGAATACTTCATTAAATTCAGATTTGTTCCCTTTGATTTACTACAATAAAGCATTCCTAACGGTGTCCCGTATACTGGAAACACAAGAGAACCGCTCTTCAGACGACTATGGGATGTGTATGAGCTGTGTCACAATATATGTTGAAGCAGGTGAGTGCAGTTGGCATTCAGGCACAGTGTTTGTCTGTATCTCTAAAAGTTTACATGCATGTCATGAGTCCGATTGAACAGTTTACCTTCGCGTTCATTGTAGGTGGAGAGCACCAGGACACTGGCAGCACGCGGGCACATCATCGCAGCACGCAGTGGGCTACAACTCGGTATTAACTTGAAACTAATCAGGGGTACCCGAGCGTGGACAGTGACATTCTGGACGCACCGCTGCACTGAACACACCAGCACGCGCAGCTCCATGAAAGATGTTTAGGACATTACAAAGTGCCCTCTCCCCCCCCCCCCTCCACATCCTCATCCAAAACACGGAGATGCTGTCGGTGTGGCAGCTTCCTGCATCTTGTCATTTGCAGGGGTTTTCCCCAAAAGTAGCACCTGGAGCAGTTTATTTATTTTGTTTACAAACCATTTTTGTGAAGGCACCGCATTTTTTAATTGAAATCGAGAAAGGCCCGTGGCTGCAGCTAACACTGTATAATGCGGTAGGGCACAGTCGAGGCTGTAATTGTTTTTGATTGAATTTGATAGCGACAGGACAGGGAGAAGTTACTAACCAAAGAAAAAAAGAAAAACAAATCTATTATGCTTTCTAGGCATTTGAATTTAATACCGTCCGTCTTGTAAACAAAGCTGAATTGCTGGTTTGTGCAATCACGTAAATGGCATGAAAAGACCAATGCCCGGCTCAGAATACTGTAAACGGGGTCCAATCTTCAGCCTCAGCCATCACTTTAAAACCCTCGTGCATCTGGCAAAATAATAGCAATGTCTTAAAAACGTGTGTTCTTCACCTATCTGTCGACTCCTCTCAATAAAGCATTGAGATGAACCGTTTCTATTGGCCATGACTGAGGCCAGTCTTCTTCTTCTTCTTCTTCTTCTTAATCTCCCCCAGTTTCCAAACTGCATCGCAGGTGCGCTCTGCACGTCTGGTCACCAAAATAACCAACGCGGCTCTTTCCACGGTTTGTTCGTCACAACCGAGTGCACTTTGCGCCGGCGAGTCTCGCACATTTGCTTCACACCTGTTAATAACTTCCCACCTTCAGCCATCCTGTGTAATCGCCACCGGGGCAAAGTTGGAAAAAAGAATCGGCGGCATTGGATCGTCTACGCTGATCCCAGTAATTCACCAAATTAAGAGTATGCAACCTTACTGACACAAATCTGTTTGCAGATAGTCTGAGCTTGTTGATGCTTTTTTTTTTTTTTTTTTTGTTCAATCCGCTCTTCACTTCAGAAAGCAGCGTATTTTTGTCTGATCCTTCACTCAAAAAAACCACAAAGCAGCCAAATGCAACGCTGAGCAGGCTTTTTCCAGCCCTATCTGAAAGAGATTAGAGGAACATGCGTCTCCTTCTTTGAGCTCACATTTCAAACTCTGCCTTCACGTCATTACTTAACCGCTGGTGGAGCACTCGTTAGAGAGAAGGATAAAAAAAAACGAGAGTGCGAGCTACGTGCTGTGAGCGGGCCCAGTCAGCTCGGACATCTCGGTCCTGGTTTATGTTGGGAACCCAAATTAGATTGTCGCAACTAAATAGCTCAGTAATGGGATCACTGGGATCATTTTTTTACTCATCTTCCCGCTCTTTCAGGTCTTCGGCTGTCTCTTTCAGCCACGTCTCTGCCTTTTCCCCAAAGCATTAGCGGAGAATAAAGTCTGTTAAGAGAGATGTGCGGGAGGCTGAATGTAGTTCAGTTTGTTCAGTGGCGTGTCTTTGGAGAGCCCCCAAATAGCAAACTGTTTGTTTTTTTCCCTTTTTAAGATGAAATGTGCATGTTTGTCTTTGTTATTGAGAGAGACAAAGACACAGAGAGAGAGAGAGAGAGAGAGTGTTGATGTTGTGGCAAGTGTGAGGAAGGTTTCTTTTGATTTTCAGGAAGGTTCCATGAGATTTTGACAGGGGCTGAGAGGACATGGAAGAAAATTCTTTGATGCCGACTGTCAACAAAAGGCCTCTGCAACATACAAATAGCTATTTATCCTCTCCCGCTTTTTTTTCTTCTTTCTCCTCCTTTATCTCCTCTCTTCCTCGCTAAATGTTTGGGCAGAGCCCGTCAGCCTTTTGCACTGAACTGCTAAGCGAATGGACGCCTCTCGTCTCAACTGTCTGTCTCACTCTGTCCGAGCAGCAATAAACAGCGGGACATGTTAAGCCCACACCACGGCAGGAAATGCCAACAATGAGTGATGAAAACACTGGTTTGGTTGGTGTTTGCAAAACTAGACTTGATGGGTTAAGGTAAAAAAAAAAAAAAACCTCCAGCAGCAGCAACCAGTCACACTATCTCCTGGCAGCACAAAGCAGCTCTGCTGGCTGTGTTCTCAATTGCGACAGGTTTGAATATGGCCTAATAAAAGAGAGACGGAGCGGAAATTTCACCCAATTCCTGCAGATAAGAGGGTATTGTTTCAGAAACTCGTGAGCTTTTTGTTGGAAAAATGTGAGAATTTAGATTGGCTAAAAGAAGCAAGAAATCTCCCCCCCCCCTCTCTTTTTTGTCTTTGTGTTTTGTGGCTCCGCTCTCTGTGCCTGTTTTTTTTATAAAGACAAGCCAGGGCGACAAAATGTATCCTGAAGATTAATTAAAAATTGTTGATTGGGGTTTAGACAGCGTGTATATGTGCACGGGGAGTTGAGAGGTGTGATACCCCGATGGTGCGCTTTTGGCACAGCGCCAATGCAAAGTTGTTTTTTTGTTTGTTATTAATAGTACAAAGACAACAAATACACGCAAATGCTTATTCTTTGAGTGGCTAATTGAATTTGAAATGGCCCCTCACATCTTTGTGTTTGCTTCAAGTCGAGCCAAACGCTGTTCCTGTATCTGCACCGCCTAACTGAAACTTATCTTCACGCCACACCACCTTAAACATGTACTATATGTATATTTATGTGCATCTCTTTAGGAACACAGACGGGAGATTTCCATCGTGTGGTCCTGACTGTGTCACTGGCAGAAGCTTCAGTCAACGCTCTCCTTCAGAGCGTTAACCGTCCACATACGATTCGGGTCGTAATGCCCAGCGGTCGCACCGGATAACTGATCATCTGTTTTAAATTCAGCCACGTTTTGTCGCTTGGGCCGTAGAGGCTGTTGCGATTGGATTTATTTCTCCACAGGTGTGCACATTTCTAAAGACAACATTAATGTAAGCGCACCATGGTTCCATGGTAACTTGGCAACAGTCCTCAGGTTGGCTCCTGATCACTGGCGGGGCGGACTCAGCGACACTGATTAAGTGAAGTTCATGATGGAAGAGTTAAAGGTGCTAAATTCCAAATTCAGAGAGCATCTGCGATCGGAGGATTGCCTCCACATGGCTCTCAACATGGCAACGGCTACACTTTATCTTTATGTAGAAAATAGCTGTTTGCTGCTATAATTAATGCTCCGAATATCAAATTCAGCACATTAAACACACATAAATAGACCAAAATAGTATAGCAAAACAATATGTGATTATATAATCTGTTCCTTATGTTTCTCTCTTGGTCACTGTGGTGTAATATTCCACATGCAGTCACATCGTCATCTGGACAGAATAGGCGATACACCAGATTACATCACTTACTTTCAGCGAGCCGAACAATTAGGAGCAGTGATGGAATTTGTGCGAGTATCAAGCCATACTTGGGAGATATTCTGTCTCTTTAAGAATCCTCTCAACTCCCCAAATGCCCTGTCGGATTGCAGTGTGATCACATTGGGCCGTGCAGAAGTGGCTGAATTGGAATCTTATCTTCTTCCATCTTTCCCATTACGGGCAGATTGAAAGCCCTGCAGCGGTGCTCTGGCCCGGTCCCCAGTCAAGACGGCTTTTTAGACCGCAATTTGACAGCTTCTAAAAAAAAAAAAAAAAAATGTCACATTTTGTTGTTAAGATGCACTGCCAAGCACTTGAGCCATACATGCTGTGGCATCGGCCCCAGTTGGGTTGTGAAGCCTTCGCTGACCTTCCCTTCACTCCCGGGCATCACTCCTGGCACTACCTGTCTCCTGGTGTCAGTTTGACATTATGAACTTAAAGAGCCTGATGCGTAGCAGCAAGGCACAAAGCCACTTTCCCCCGGCTTTCATCCCGTCCTCGACAGACAGCACTGCTAGCCACGCTTGCTCAGTGCTCGTGAAAAGTCTGTGAAATGACGGGCATAAAAAACGGTGTGTACTAATGCATGTAAACAGTGGTTTTTCTTCTTTTAAATCTTTGAGCTTTGAGGTTCATTGTTTGGTATCTTTGCATGTCTTGTATACATCTTGTATACCTTCACACCGGTATCACCGTGCCGGCTTTAAAGCAGGCAAATGTGCTCGGTTGTATTTCCTCCAGGTTTATGCTGAAGGAACTGGTGGATCTTTCATATCCGCTGCCGTTGTTACTGCTGTGGAGGCTCTGACGATGACATTCTTTCGAGATGAAATAACAAAGACAAGTCCGCAATAAAAAAAAAGGTTTTAAGAAGGTCAGATGTTTTTTATGCGTCCGTCCACCTTTGTCGTCTCGGGCAGCACAGAAGCCCGTCTCTCTGCTCTGTAGTCTTTTTCTTCAGTTGGGCATATGGGCCGAAGCTGCATCTCAGACACACTCAGGGGGGGCAGCACTGCCGTGACATAGGAAGTGTGAGGGAGAATAGCAGGGAGGGGGGAGGGGGGGGGGCCCTGCTGTCCACCATCTGGGCAAATGGCAAGTCTTTATGCCAGCATGGTAGCCGCTGAAGAAAGAGGGCACGGGGGGGGCATAGCGGGAAGCTCCGAAGACAGACAAGAGGGGGCACCTGCAGACACGGGTCATTCTTCCTCGGTAAAAGAGCCACTCGGTAACACCTGTGCTCCCGCTCCCCTCTGCCCCACTTCAGACACTCTGTCAGAAAGCCCGTGCTCAGCAGAACTGCAGGCTCCCAAAACAAAAGACTTTTGCAGGCTCGGCGGAGAGAGAGAGCGTGCAGGTGAATAACAATAACCGCTCCTTCAGTTATTCATATATTCATATGTGTGTTCATATTTAGCCTTCGCTGTGAGGGTGACGAACAGCGGTTTGCCGAAGGCCGCGCCGACGCCGACTCGCGGCACCCGGTTTCTCTCCTCCTGGCGCGGAAAAGCGGTTAACGGGGCAAGAAAGTGACAGGGCGACTGGTCGGGGTGTCCTCTGTGGGTCTGGTGTTGCGTTCGCCGGGCGGGCATATTAAAAGAACAGCACTCCTAATGAGGAGGAATCTGACATGTCTCAGCTGGGGCGATGGGGAGAGAGCGAGCGGTGTGGCAGGCCCCTTATGTTCGACTGATGTATTAGCCATTGAGGGCTCATACAGCCGCTCGGATGGCGGGCGGCAGTTACCCAAAAGCTAATAGATCCTCGTGCGTTATATGCTCCCTCCCCGGAGAGGTGCCATAGCCATCCCCCTGCAAAGGCGCTGAACGTGAACATGTTCAACCCCCGGCCCGCTCAAATCTCCCCCCCCTCCCTCCCTCCCGGCTCACGGTCTCGGTGCACCCAATCCTTTCATCCTCATATCTCTCAATCCAGGTAAGGCTTGGCTGGAGACCAGTGTTCTGTAGAACAGAGGCCCTCTTGGCTGCGCAATCGATTTTTCCTGCGGGGGCAGAATGTACAGTGCGCGTGGCCGCGTCGAGGGGAAATGTAAATGGACCGAGCTCCCGAAAATGATCGGGGCAGCCTGGGCTGCGCGTGGATCAGGGAGCATGTAAGCACCAGATAGCGTTTACCCCCGGTTTTAACTAAAGCACTCAGACATTCTCCTCTCCGCAGCCCTGTAATTCCCTCCGAGTGCACGGTGTGAAAGTGAAGCACTGTTATCAGCCGCTACCAAATGCATTAGTCCTCCTCCGACCGCTGCAAACGGACCGCCTGGCTGTAGATCGTTCCCTCCACACAGAATGGAGGCGATGAAGAAGTTGTAAATTAGGATTGCGTACTTTCATGCCCCTTAATGATTACGGCACCCCTGGGCTGCACAATCACTCCCTCTCTGTAATTTTGAATTAAATACGACGTATACCTGTCAGTGAACGGAGAATAAATTGACGGTCTTACCTGATGTCACCCGCGGTAATAATGCATGGTGATGACACAGCATGATTCCGACCACTTTGCACTTATTTCTCTGCATGGCGTGTGGGCAGTGAGTGCAGAGACCTGGAGGAACTGGACGTGGTTAGTTTGATGGGACTGCTTCTAAGTGCTGCTATTTGGGCCGATTATTTTCTTATTGAGGTTATTTTGGTGTGAAGATTTGCTGTTGTGTGTTGATGGCAGATGCATCATGTAATTCCTGAAACACTATGATGTCTGATGTTTTGTGTATAAAAGATATTAGGCAAGCCAGATGAGGTTTTATACTGGTTTAAACACCTGAGTTGGCATTATTTCATTTTTTTTATGATGCAGATTAATGTCAAAGACAGCCATTGATCTCAGGGGATGAGTACCAGAGATCCAGTGTATATGTTTTGAAAGAATTGTGGTTTACGATATGAAGATTTCTATTTTCAGTATAAATTATATAAAGATATGGTTTAACTCAATATTGCATTAAGTGTTTATCCTATATAGATGGATTTAATGATTGCAAAGTCTCAAATAAGATATTACAGATGTTGTTTGCTGCAGTCACCATTATTGTGCTTTGCATCAGACAATTCTGTCTCAAGAACAATTCATTTTTTCAGTTATGCAACACAATCTGATTGGAATCGGTATCATACTGTATGAACATAGTACAATTGCACTGGAATGAATGAATGGTAATATTAATACAGATTACAGCAGTAATCTGCTGCGTTACAGAATCTATTTGTCTCACTTCCTGTTTGCTCCGTCTAGCCACGGCGAGTTCTTCAGGGCTCCGGCCTTGAATTAGCTTTGATACCTTTTTATAAACGTGTGAACATTGGCCCAGATCCTCCTGTAGCATTCTTCAGCGCCACCTGGCAAACGGTGTTAAATATCAAACTCTTGTTTTTTGTTTTTTTTGCACCATTTGGGAAAAGACTTGTCCAAACATTGTTGATTCAGAATTAATTATGTAATGTGTTTTAGAATGGGGTCTATTTGAAGGTTACATTTTTCCATTATATTCCACAGTTTCAGGGAGGTGGTGGCCCTGTAGAGATAAGACGACAACTGTGCAGCCCCCCCCGCCCCCCCATTCAAAACATGTCTTTAAAAGCAAATAAAATGCCTCAGCAGCTGTTTGGATTGGTTGAACTGTATTGACAATCTGTTAAAGGGTGGGGGGTGAAAAAAGGGGGCTTATTTTCCCTTTTGTAGAATTTGACAGTGATAAAACTGGATTGCAGCAATAATGGCTGTCATGGATCAACACCTAGAAACATTTTACTCTGCTGATGTGGACATGAATGGGATCCAAAGTCATGTCTCCCCCTGGCTGACTGCCAGGACCTTCACAGGAGCTTTAATAAATGGTTTGTACCAGCAGACGGTCCTTGGCCTGTGCGGGTGTTTCTCTGTGTGTGTGTGTGTGTGTGTGTGTGTGTGTGTGTGTGTGTGTTTATATGCCACGGGGATTTTTAATAAGGACTAAGTGCGCAGGAACCCTCCGGAGAGGGAGAAAGACCAATAACCTACAGTAGTGCATGGTGCTACTAAAAGGGTTGAAGGAACACTGAAGGGGAGGAAGCAAAGGTGTGCTAGCTATTTATTGGCGGCATCGGGGTGCACATGAATTATTCAATGTGACATTCATCCATAATTAAGTTTCTTTAATGGATAAATAAACACACAAAAGCGTTGTAGGGGAATGTTTTTTTTTTTTTGTTTTTTAAAAATTAATTTATTTTACTTGACACATGTGGATGTGGCTCCAAGTCTCATTTCATGACAATAACGAAGCGCGCATTTACGCGATGAGGGGAGGGGGGGGCATCGGCGGCGCAGGTGTAAGTTCAGAGTGAGTGCAATCGGAGTGTATGGGGGAGGGGGGGCGGGGGTGATGCTCAGCAGGGAGAAGATGGAGAGATGAGTTCAGTAGGTGGACTGCCTCGGGCATAGAGGTCAGCGGTCCGGGGAGGGGAGGGGGGGGCTTTGAGATCTTGAATGGAAGGATGGAGTGGACATTTGTTTCGGATCTACTGGTCTTTGAGTGAGGACACGGACCACAGCGAGGGTCTCGAGTGTGGAGAATGAAGTGATTCTTCTGAACGGATGTCAGATTTTGAAGGGTTAAGATGCTGCGCGGTGAGCAGCAATGAGCCCCGGCGCGAGGCGCAGCGTTTTTCAGTGAACACATCGCGGAAAAATACAGACGTGCCTCGGACACGCGGCGCAAGGTTCCATCTTGTCGATGATGTATCTTTTCATCATCTCGTGCCTGACAGCGCATGTTATTCTTCATTTTCGTCACTGTCGCCTCGAATCACACAGCAGAGCTCCGGAGGTGTCACCGGTTGCCCGTTGTTTCGTTGTTTCCCGTTACATCAAGGGGCCCGAGACGATTCTCACATACTTATTCATATCCTGGTTTATTCGCCAAGGCGAGCTAACGTCGGTGTCTCCCCCCGAAAAAAAACAGCAAACGAGTAGTCTGATGCTTTTCAGTCCATTTCCAAAGCGAGCAACCTGTCGCAGCACGCTATGAATTGATTCTCCGTTAAAAAGGGTTTGAATATAATTAAAGCTAGTGTTTGCCGCTCAGCAATCCAAGTAGATCTCGCCACCACACTGTGAGTTGCATCTCAAATTTGTCTCCCTCAACGCCATTAACACTATTTAACTCGGGGGCATTCATTTAATTTGCTATAATTGCTTCAGAGCCCCCTCTCTCCATGCTTAGCCAGTTGTCTGTAGGTTAAGGGTGGGGAAGGGGGGGGGGGGGGGGGGGGGGTGTCGGCTTGTCTGCATGCTTATCGCCAAACAGCTTTTTTGTGTCCAAACCTGAAGCATCAAGTCCATGCAAACTATACCATCGCTGCAGTTTGTAGAGCTGGCGCGTACGTAAATAAATCCATCACAATAATGATAAAACCTCCTGCGTCTGCGCGGACATTGATCATAGACTGTATTCAAATCATCCCTTGTTACATTGCAGCGGTGGTTGCGAGAAGTAAGACATTAAGCAAAAGATACCCTTTGCCGTAATGTGTAAATATCCGATAAATAACAACGTCACTGAGCGACAGGCGAACAGCAGTTATGTTCCTATGAGGGAAAACGGTTAACATGTCGGGGATTTGACGGGGAGGTGGGGGGGGCTCGGCAGGTGTTGGGAGCTCCTTAGGGAGCTGGAGGTCACATTACCATACAAAAGCCACTCTGCTGGGTAACCTTTCCAGACGCTGCTCCCTAGCCAGGGGGCTTGCGGTCACACACTGGCACTGCCACAAGTGCCTCACCACCAAACCCACACACACACACACACACACACACACACACACACACACACACACAGGCAGACGTGTGCACAGATCTCTCATACTCAACCCCTGAATACCCCCCCACGTTCTCCATGACAGAAACTTTGCTTGTATGGTGACATGAAAAATTTGCACTCGGGGAACATAAATCACAGGGGACAGCTCTAAAGCAAAACAAATACTATGATATGGTCCATTGCCGTCATAATGCACACTAAAGGGAAAGGCATTCATGTGGAATTTAGATCCAAAGCCTAACATTTTATCTTCGCCAGCAGTCTTTCGCACAAATCGGCTCCTTTTTTTTTTTTTTTTTTCCCCCCCCCCCCTCCTCCTCCCTAAATCCCCAGAAAAGCAAGGCTGTTGTCATTTAAGCTCCACTCTATTTACAACTCTGATATGCCTTAGATGTGTGCGAGACACAACAGCGAGGAATGGGAGCAGTGTACTGGATATGGGTAGCACGAGGGAGGCGAGCGATATAGACATCGACGTCGCATGGAAGCGCGCCGAGGTTCTCCTGGTGGTGGGGGGGAGGAGGAGGAGGAGGAGGAGGAGTAACCGGGGCGAGAGAGACAGACTGAGAATGGAGGGAGGCGCATTGGCGGGCAGCCGCGGAGTTAATGTCGATCGAAGGGTGGGGGGTGTTGGGCCGAGAGTATGGGTGGTCCTATTGATGGACAGCAGCATCAACAGGGATTCAGGTGGCTCTTAGAATATGATGCAGGTTTAGTGTTAGGAGTCTGTTTTTTCTCTCTCCTTTTTTTCATTCTGGAGGAGGAAGAGAGAGGGGGGGGGTCCGTGGCGGGCGGAGGCCGAGAGGCACGGAGACGCCTGGCGTCTTTTCCATCGTGGCTGATTTTGAGTGACAGGTCATAGGGATGGAAAAATACACGTTGTGTTCCGCGTGCGTGCGTGCGTGCGTACGCGTTACCCCACAGGTAACACGTGCGCACCATGTAATTATACTCATTACACGGCAGGCTGTGGATCTGCATGAGATGGTAGTAGACACTGGGGAAAAAAATAAAAATATATCTGGTTTGTTGACAGCGTAGTGGCACAGGAGCTGTGACAGTCAACTACATTGTTTATGCTGCAATTACCAAGACTGAATTCAATCAGTCAGGCCAATACACTTTTTTATTGCAATTATGCAAAAGACCCTACAGCTCACTGTGTGGTGAGACGTGATGTGCAGTAGCTTATATTGATTACTTTATTTGTAAAATTAAGTCTTTAAGAAGTCCCTGTCACTCAGCCCCTCACTGCAGCCCGTATCACATGCGAGCACTGCACCCTCCTGAAAATAATAACTCTTAATATAATTGATGTAATATGCCACATGCAACAATAAGGTATAACATCTAATCACGTTAAGTAGTCATTGCCAAGCCGTAATTAAACTGTTTGAGACAAGTGATTACCAACCCTGATAGAGAATGTGAATATATAATAGGGGTGTTATGAAAATGCTAATACCCCCATAGCTCTAATTGCGAGGCATTTATGTGTTTACTTCATCTTTTTTCACCAATACGCATTGTGTTGTATCTGTGTTATCGTCGCGTTGACCACAACGTGCTAGAGGGGGGGGGAAAGCACGCGAATATGGCGAGATGAAGCCCTCCTTCGCCTCGGTATGCTTCGCCACACATCGTGATGTTAACAGCGGGGCCCTGCAGTCTGACTGGGGCTAATGGTGTGCCATCCCATCAGGCCATGCGCCCAACCAGAACATTCAGAGAGATTGTTCACATCAAGCCTGTTGGCAAATTAGCCAACACGCATTAAGCTGTGGCATTATGCTAAAGCTGTCTAAATACTACTATATGCTTAGTGACCAGTGAATGATTGCTGAGGCCCTCCCCCCCCACCCCTTCCAGCCCACTGGGATATGAGGGTCTGTCCTCTCGAGCTGGATCGATGGAGTAAGCCGTCGCTGGTTGTGGTGCAATGTGAAGTTAAAATGAAGCGAGAGAGAGAGAGAGACACGGGAAGGGTTGAGAGCGCGGCTACAACCGGAGTCGTGGCGCGTATCTTCCCTTCACTGATGTCCTTTCAGTCAGCTGTTATTTAGGTAATACGACGGTGAATTCACTATATACCTAATTTCAAATCTGAATATTCTCCGGCAGCTGGAGCATTCAATGGCAATCACTAGATCACAGCAGGGGAAGGCGATATTTCACAGCGTGACGCGTGATCTGACAGACATTTCTCCTTCCACTCTGTTAATTTCGTCAGACACCTTCGGAGGCTTTGCCGCGCTGCCGGTCTCCCCGCTGACCAGAGCACCATGGTCTTTTGTCTGAAATGCCCTGGCTCTCCGCCCCCCCCCACACCTTTTTAAATGTAGGTTTTCATTTTCCTCCCACCGTAATGAAGGTGTCTGGGCAGCTGATGGACGTGCGTCCTCCACCCCTCACCTCCGCTGTATGGGCCCTTCTCCATGGGGTCTCGCCGACGGTGGTCGTAGACCGGTGGAACGGTGCACTCGAAAATACTTCTCTCTGCTCCTGGAATACACTTTTCTGTCAACGTCGCAAGTTTTAGGCAGCTTCCCAGGTCGTCACGGGGCCCCATGTTGCGCACAAGTGCCCAGCAATCCCAGCTGGGTGCTGATTCCTCAACCGAGGAAAGAAATATTGATCTGAGGTTTTGACTCGGTGGTTATCTTTGTGTATTTTTTTTGGTACTTCTTTGACTTTGTGCCTTGCAAAGAGTACTTCTACTCTGGGATCCAGTCAGTTGAATCCATGTGTAGATTAAACAGCCTACAGGTACGTATCGGCTTCAGTCTGAATGATAATTGAATTACACCACGAACACAAAGTTTGCCCTTTGATTGTTTCTTGCTGTTGTTCTGACTCTGTATTTGCATAATGACTTGTTTAATAATGTTCAAGGAATCAATGGACTTTTTACAATATTGTTGATGTTTTTGACATTTTACATTTCCAGTGAGTGCAAATTAAGTTTTAAAACATGAAAAAAAAAGTCCAAAACGTGACCATGGTGTAACGTATCTCCCTGGAGTGAGTGTTGTCTTCCTTCACAGTGAAATAGGCTTTTGAAATGTACAGGTGGTGCGTTATGACGTATGTTCAGGAGGGAGGTGGAGGTCTGTGTCCTTC